CAGCAGCCGCTGCATGCGAGCCGCCCCCCCCGCATTCCTTGTAGTAGATGCAGAGCCAGCCAGGAGCTCTGCTCCAGCTGCATGCCAGCCTCTCTCTCCCCCTCCCTTGGGCAGGCAGCCGGGCGGCATGTGCCCCACAGAGGGGCACCCCTGCCCTTACCCCCTGGCCTTGCCTCCAGCTGTGGTGTGCTGCCTGGGGCTAGCAGCACCCCTCCACTCCTTCAGCTGCCAACCATCTTCCCCAGCCCTGCCCCACAGCCCCACTTACCTCTATGCTCCAGCGGTGAAGGGCGAGTCTGAGCCTGAGCCCAGCCTTGGCTGCCTCAGAGGCTCAGGCCCTGCCCTCTCCCTCCCCCTCTGGCCAGGGCTGGAGGTTTCCCGCCCTTTTTGCAATCAGCTCTTGCAGGCTGGAGTTGTGCCAGCCTGCAACAGCTCTTTGCAAAAGCAGAGAATCCATGAATTTCTCTTCTAAAAAAAGAAATTCATGTTTTCTCCAATAAAAACAGGGAATCTGTGTTTTTTCCTGTTTTTCTGTGGGAAATGGAAAACCCAGACGTGGTGATGAGCAACCCTGCACACTTCTGCTGTTGTGGTTCTGGACTGCAAATCCCAGAGACTGGTTGGGGGCAGAGGAAAAGGAAGCAAATACACAGCCCATGCTGGCCATAGAGCTGTGCTGCAGTGCCCCCTGGCTTCTGGCCTAAACCACTGCAGGCATGTGGCTGCATTTCTGGAATCAAAAGCAAATGCTGTTCAGTTTCAGTTTAATCTCTGCAGTTTAGACTAGCCTTCAAAGACTGAATCAATTCAGCCTTGGGCTTTTTGACTGTCTGTACTTAGCCTAGATGTCCTAAACACCTGAAAACCCACTGACAGTAGTTGAAATTGTAGGTAGCAGGGAGACTTCTAACTGAAGAGGTAGGTGCACAGCATCTCTGAAATCCAGCCTACCATGTCTTGAGCTTGAGCAGTCAAAAAGGTGAGTCACCCAAAATGAAAGGCCTTTGCTGCAACTGTGATCTTTGCTTTTGGGCATGGCAGTCTGTCAGCAATTCTGTCTCATGTACTACTGAATATATCTAGCTATAGTGAGATTTCTACATCAATCTCATGCATCTTTTGTACTTCAGTTATGTGATGACCTTGTCTAAAGTGTCAAAAGTAGATGGCAGTTAGAGTATAGTAATTCTCCTTTCTGGAAATTCCTATAATTACCAAATGGAGAATGAATAGATAACAGATAGAAAGATAATTCTGTTTTGGAGGATTTTAAAGTTTCAAAACATAGTTTTGTTTAAAAAAAATCAACATATCTAAATTCTACTTAAAATAAAATTGTTTTGCTCCCTACTCTTCTCTTCTGAAGCTTGCCTGGAGGACTTTCCCAGAGGCAAGACCCCAGGACCTCAAATTTCCTGTTCTGACATAAAATAAGGATTTTGGAATTTGGAAAGCCAAGCTGCTAAGGAACTCGGACTCCCAGTGTTTTTACAGAATCATAGAGAAGTAGGCTGGGAAGGGACCTCCATAGGTCATCTAATCCCACACCCTGCCTGAGGCAGGATCATCCCTATCTAAACCATCCTATACAAATCATAATCTAAACACTTCGTAAAACTACAGTCAACCCTGACACAACACAAGACACAACACCCTAACCTGTCATAAGTAAAGCAGGGGAACCATGGCAGTCAATGTCCTGCTTTTATCCAGGGTTGTTAATATATGTTCAAGAGATCCTAGGTAGAGGGCTATGCCCTCCCTGCCCCCCAGTTTGTAGTACTCTGACCATAAGGGAAAACTTTTTTTTCTGAACCCACATATGGTGATCAGTCTGTGGAGGGCAAGATCCTTTAGCCAAAAACCTCTGACTTCAAGTCCCAGCAGGAGCTGGCACACCCCAACAGCCAACACCCAATGCTTCTGAGGAAGGCATAAAAACACCCTGACACACGTAGCAGAGAGCAGTGAGGGGAGAGGGAAACAAGCAAAGCCCATAAGCATGGAAAATATCCATAGTAGAATATAGGTATAGCTATGCCTAGATCATCCCCAACCAATGGCTGTCCAACCATTTTTTGAACATATCCAGTGATGGAGAGTCCACAACTTCCCTAGGGAGTCTGTTCCGTTGCCTCATGGTTCTAACAGTGAAGAGTTTTTCCCAGTTCAAACTCTGTGCTCTTCAGCAGCCTGCCAGGCAGGTTTCCATTAGAGCTTAACCTTTGTAACAATTGACTGAAGATTGTAGTGGATTCTTCATCACTGATAAATATTAAATCAAGAGGGGTATTGACCTAACATATAAGCTCTAGTTTAAACAGGAATTAAGACCAGGAAGTCCTCTGGCCTATGGTGTTACACAGGAGGCCAGACTAGGCAAGCACACCAACCCCTTCTGTGAATGCATGAGACCTGTCTGGCAGTGTTCTGTGTGAAGCACGACAGATGGCTGGAGGAATTGAATCAAAATTGACACAGCCTTGATGGAATTAGTTTAGAAGAATGATTACATTTCAGTGAAAATGTGCTGGCAAAGTTTTATCCTACCAGGGCTAGTCAAAAAGGTGCATGTGGAAGATGTTTTTAAACTAAGTGATAAGCCAGATCAGGCAACTGGTGCTCTGGCAAAAAAACTTGCTCATGGCATTCCCAGAGAAATGATGCTAGGGTTAAGTGCCTTTTAATTAATCTTAACATGTTCACATGAGATAATAGACTGGTCAATGAAATGTAGCATATGTTAAGCCCCTGGTGATATTCTTTATAGTGGTATCATCACCAAGGCTGTCTGTGCTTGCCTTGACAAAACTAGGATATTCAAGATTGGCATGTCAATGTTTGCAATGCTCCTTATATAAATAGAACAAACAGAGCAGCATGACCAAGTGCTAAAGTTACCTTCTGGCCTACCAGATCTCTAGCATGGTACTGCACTTATAGGGACCTCAGGGCAGTTCTCTGCCTAACCTAAACAAATACATTGAGAAACAGAGACAAGGGAGACAGACATGGAAAGACGGAGCATGGAAGAAAGAATCACTCGGTGTATGGCTGAGAAGTTAGCGAAAAAAACTTTTCTTGAAGCTCTAAAATCAAATGATTACAAAACCATGGAAGATCTTTTGCTTGAAAGGGAAATAGATGTAGACACAGTGTTCGAAGTGGAAGATGAAAACCTGATTTTGGCATCCTACAAACAAGGTAAAACAGTGGCAGCTATTGCATTTGCAAAACATGAAACAAACAGGTTTTGGTAACTAAGTTTTGTAGAAAAAATGGTGTTAGTTTGTTTCTTCAAAACATATAGCTTATACTGAGCTGTAAAACTTTTTAATATACTGCTAGCAGGATTTCAATCTAAGGGATAAATCTAAGGTTGCCAGCTCTGACTGAAGCTATTCCAGGAGATTTTTTCCCCCCAGCATGATGTAATGTCATTAATAGGGGTACACCGATAGAGATTTTTTGGGTCGATACCAGCGGTCAATTTTTAACGAGCCATATTGGCCAATACCGATCCAATTGCCAATATGCAGCTGGGCTGCTCAGAAAGCGGCACCTGGCTGGTAAATCTATTGTTGGGGAAGGGGCGAGGGAGATGAGAAGGGGCATAGGGGAGGCAGATCGAGGCCCCCACGGTGAGGGAGGGAGCGGAGCTGGGGGCAGGGGCAGGCGCTGCATAGCCGGGACAGCGTGCAAGACGGAGCCATGAGTGGTTTGTCCAAGGGACACCGGGCGTGGGGGGGAGGTGGCTCCCATCACTATGCAGACCCTGGAAAGGTACAGTGGGTGTGTGCCCCTGGCTCTGCACGTGGGGCGAGGGTGGGCTGCCACTGTGGGCTGGAGCCAAGGCAGTGCCAAGCTCTTCCCACTGGGGGGTTGGGCCGGGCTGTGCTCAGGATGGGTGGCGGTGGTGCTGAGAGGGGAGCCATGGTGGGGCTGCAGTCACCCCAAAATTTTCCATAGCCCTCCTCCCAGTGCTGCCACCACCCGCCCTCAGTGCAGCCATGACCCAGGCCACAGAGGCAGCCTGCCCTCGCCCCACACACAGATCTGGGGGCACATACCCCCCATACCCTCCCGGGGTCTGCGCAGTGGTGGGAGATGCCACTCTCTCCCTGCGCCCCCTGGATGAGCTGCTTACAGCTCCATCCTGCCCCTGCCTCATCCTCCCTCACTACTGGGGACTTGATCTGCCCCGCCCCTCATCCCCCTTTCCTCACAACAGACTTACCAGCTAGACCCAGCTGCTCTGCATGCTGCCAGGCAGCACTCCTGCCCACCTGTGTGCTGCACTGTGGCCGCACGCATGCACTGGGCACTTATTGGCAACATTATCAGCCACATCAGCCAAAAAAAGCCAACTGCCAGTACTGTCAATTTTCCTTTTATCAGTGCTGATTTGGGACCGATGTATTGGTGTACCTCTAGTCATTAATTGTACTGTTCAACCCATTCACAATATCAATCTCCTGGATTGCTTTTAATAGTCACCGGGAGATTGATGCTGATTCCAGTAGACTTCTGGCCAATCTGAGATGGTTGGCAACCATAAATAAATCCTGTGCCTAACACTGCAGCTCTGGAAGTCTCCGGAAGTTGTTGAACTGGTGTTATGTGACTGCATTGTGTAGACTATATAGAAGTTCCTTACATCTTTTCTGAAAGGGTATCTTAAGGGCAGGCCAAGGATTGAAATTTTTAAAATGTGAGGATGGACTACTGCTACCCTCCTCAGAGTTGTGGAAGTTGCTGCAGGTTCAGTGATGTCTGGGAAGAGGATCCTTTGCTTTTTTCCTGCACGGTGCAGAATATGCATATATATATATGTCTATGTAAATTCCTAATATATACCTATTCAATCCACATAAAAAGCCCATCCAGAAACATAAGCTGAAAATGGGAAGTAAGGAACTACATATAATAGAAGTATTATGTCTTTCTCTTAAGCCTGAGGAAATTCCCTGGGCCTGGATGTTATTTGGTAGAGAAAATTTCTTTTTCAAAATCTCAGAAGTGAGATGCTTTGAGATATGTGTCAAGTCAGGCTAAACCATGTATTGTCACCCTGGAAATATACAGTCAGAGCTAACATTTGAGCCAAAGAATCCAATTCAGGGTAGAAAAGAAACAAATCATGAGGTACAGACTAGGGCTTTGTGAAATGTTGCTGAGTGTTTCGTTTCAATGCTGCTTTGACCCATTTTAAGCTCAAAACAGCAAAATCAAAACAGAACAAAAGGCTTTGAAATAGCCTTGAAACAAAATGAGGGCAGTCAAAATATTTAAAAAGTTTTGAAACATTTAAAGTTTCGAAGCTGGGCTTGCTTGCACCTAAAGAGAAACTAAGGAGAGGGAGGGGGAAGAGGGGAAAAGGACTGTTCTGATATTGACATGTGTAGCTGGCCAGTGACTGTGATCCTTCCCTGAGATCCCTTCCAGTCCCAGTGCTCTGGGGGAGGGATGGAAAAAACAGCATAAAAAGCACTGTTTGAACTGAGCTTTCTCCATGTATTCACACTTACAAGTGACACGAGTTTTGCTCTGAACAGTTTAAAGTGCAGTTTCCCAGAAACCACTGCACCTATCTCCTTGAAACTTGACAGGCATTGTGGCCTCAGCAGGGGCTACTCCCCCCCCCCCTCCCCCCTGCTGTTTTCATTTGAATCAGGCAAGAAATGACACATTTTTAGGCATTTTCATGATTCCCCAGTATAGCTTATGGGCGAAACGTCGAAACGTGGCGAAACAGTTTGACGAAATGAAATGGAACATCAAACCAAAATGTTGTCCCTTTGAAATGGCAAAACAGAAGTCAAAATGAAATGGTGCTGTTTCGCACAGCCCTAATACAGACCAGTTTCCAACCACTGATGACTTGAAATAATAAAACAAATTTGTCTTCTGCTAAATTCAATACACCCCAATGTTTACTCTCTGAGAGTAGCTGACAAGTTCTTGTCCTGTTTGTGATGCTTTTCTTTTCTATCATGTCACCTCTGGAAACACCCTGTCTTTTGGAGCATAGGTAACTTCCATGATGAACAACTCTCTGATAACATGGAAAATTCCAGAATCCTACCTCCTGTGCAGTATGATGGCACCAGTTACTCTTTGCCCAGGGATCTTGACATCATAAAATACCTGGGGGGAGGGAGGGGGGGTGGAAATCAGCTTTCCATGGGCATAGCTTATCCACAGCAATATATGAAAAAGAAATAAATGCTGGATCAGGCAGAAATGTGACTGTATAAAATAATATCTTGGTGTCTAATATTTTCTCTTATGTATTTACCCATATTAGATCTGCAATTAACAATGTATGTATACACATTTTCTAATTTTTATCTCTGTAGGCTCATATTAGTAATTGCAAATCATATTCTGCTCTATCTACGTTCCATATTTTGTTGGCTAGGGGTGCACTGAAAAAGATTTTGGAGGCCAGTACTGATAGATGATTTTTATGGAGGCATATCGGCTGATATCAATCTAATTTCCAATACAGCTGCATGTAGCTGGTAAGTTTGTTGTGGTGGAAGGGGAGAGGGGAGGAAAGGGGCATGGGGGGGGCACATCAAGGCCCTGCGGTGAGGGAGGGAGTGGGGCTGGAGCTGTGGCAGGTGCTGCCTGGCTGGGGCTGGGGGGGGAGGGGTGAAAGAAGGAGCTATGGCTCATCTGGGGGCATGGGGAGAGGGGGGGCTCCTGCCCCTGTGTGCACCCTGGGAGGGCATGGGGGCAGCTCTATGCCCCCAGATCTGTGTGGAGGGTTAGCAGGGAGGCTCCAGCTGTGGGCTCTTACAGGCACTTGGCAGTGGTGGCACTGGGAGTGGGGGCTATGGTGAAATTTGGGGAGGCTGAAGCCCTGCCTTGTAGCCCCCTCCCAGTGCCGCTGCTGCCCACCTCGAGTGCAGCCTAGTCCAGCCCGCACTGGGAAGAGCCCCCCACCTTATGCCCTCCCAGGGTGCACGGGGACGGGGGGGCAGCTCCTGCCACTGTGCACACCCTGGGATTGCATGTCGGGGGCTCTTCCTGGAGGGGGCTGGGCTAGGCTGTGCTTGGGGTGGGCAGTGGTGGCAATGGGAGGAGGATACAAGGGGGGCTTCAGCCACCCCAAATTTTGCCCTAGCCCCCACTCCCAGCACCACTGTCGCCTGCACCAAGCAGAACCCCGGCCCAACCCCTCCCCCACAAGCACTGGGAAGAGCTCAGCTGGACAGCTCCTACCCCAGTCCCAGCCCCACTCCCTCCCTCACCATTGCGGGTGGTTGATTTCCCCCCCCACCCCCAGCCCCTTCTCTCGCCCTTCCCCTTCCATCACAACAGACTTACCAGCTGCATGTGGATCTCCAAGCTGCTGGGTGGCACTCCTTGCTGCCTGCATGCTGCACTGCGGCTATGTGGACATACGGGCATTTATCAACCAAATTATCAGCCAGATCAGGCCAATTTCTGATACAATTAATTTTCTTTATATCAGTGGTGATCCAATATCAGAAAGAGGTATCGATGCACCTCTATTGTTGGCAACAAGAAAAAATCTGGTTTCTTAACCTACCTGACAGATTTTGTAGTTGATGGCTAATTCAGACAACTTGCTTTTCTGCAATCATACTGAATCTTTCATGCCAGCAGTGAAAAAGTCAGCAAAACAGATATACCACAGAATACAGATTAGAAGCAGATATGTGCAAGTAATAGGCTGCTGTAGTCAGAGTCACTTTTATGACTATAACCTCTGAATGAAAATCAAGATTTGTAGAGTTTTATAAAAAATGCATTATCAAACAAACAGCATTCTTGATATATACTTGAAACTGAATTAGGAGGAGAGTAAATGAGTGCGCAGAAAGAGAAAAGAGCAAGCTTTTCATCTAAATTATATACTATTTTTTCCTGTTCTCTCTCTCTAATACAATACATTTTTCAGTGCAATAAACTATGTTAATGTAGCATTAAGAGTGAACAGTTGAAGTCATAGAATACAGGAAATGCAGACATTAAAATTCCAGTTGAACTGGCTATATTGTACATCCTGGAAATTCTGGTATACATTTTACTGGTATTACATTATATAAAGTACATATATTTTACATAACATTTTATATGTATTAAATTAGCCAAGGAGAGAAAAAGACAGAAATGGAAAACTCAGAGTATGTGCACTAAGATTACATTTTAAGAATTTTACATGTTTATGACTGGAATTTTACCTTAAATTTTCTTCTGGTAAGTATTCCTACTAGAAAGTGTGCTGCTTACAAGATAGGATAGCAGTCCTGTACGTCCGCTGCTCATTCTCCAGAATATTATTTTATTTTACTTTATTTACAATTGATTACCGTCATTATTTCTGGGATGATCTATGTGCAGTCATCAAGAATCAGTCCCATTTGGGTACAATGTGGGGTGCTGGTGGGGAACAGACCAAATTTGCTAAAGACTATATTCTGCATGTCAAAAGTACACATGCATTTAATCTTCTAAACTCTGTCTTCTTTAGATTTGGGTATTATTATATCTTGCTGAGTGTTGCTCATCTGTACTCAGTACAATTAAGTTCCATTTCCCCTACCCACTGTTTAATTCAGAACTGGCAAAAATGTGGGCATTTGATTTGGTTGCCTTGGTGATGTGTGAGTCAGACAGATCACTTCAGCACAGAACCGAAGACTGGTCATCAGACAACTGGCTACAAGTGCACTCCACTTGTTGGACAGTTGTGGGGAGGAAGTTGGGGAAAGGAGATGGGAGGCAGGAGCACCCATCCTCCTTCCCCTTCAAGTCACTGTGCCGTTGTGTTTCTGCTCACTGTTTATCACATGAAAGGTACAATGTCAAGTGTTACATAAGCTTACATGTGTTTATGTTTCAAAATAAAAAGGAACCACTGATGCAGAATTTCAGGGGGATGAAGGGGAGTGGCAAAATTGCTATTAAGAAAACGGTGAACATTTTTTAGTCAAGTTTCATGCCATTTCTCTCACAGATCTATGCATGGACTAATTAAGTCTATCATCACTACAGGCAGCTATGTGCCCGGGAGGAATAGCATTTGACAATATAGCTGTGACACTGCTGCAAACACGTTGCAAGGGGGCGTCTGCAGTACGTGCATCACAAGCCCATTCTCAGGAAGGCTGAAACCAGCTCCTGACATGTGAGATCCTGCCATCTCCCACACAAGAACAGCATGATATGCTATCTGTTGAGTCACGGGCCTAAGTAAATGCTGCTTTTTAATTCTAGTGTAGCATTTGCTCAGCTGTTACCAAATCAAAGATCCTATTTTCTCCGTATGTTTCAGCTGGTGGCATTTCAAATGCTTTAGGCTTTTCTAGTTAGTCTATAGAGGTCACAGGAAGAAAATGTTACTTTCAGAGTACAATGAAGTTGGAATTAATCTATTCAAAAGTCAATCTATTCAGCATGTGTGGAGAAAGTACTTAATGAAAATGAAGCTATATTTTATGGAATTTTGTATATACTAAACCCTGATTGAATTTCATTACATCAAAGCTGAACTCCAACCACTCCCAAGAAATTTGTTCCCAGTTAGTGATTTCTACAAAAGATCCTTATCCAAGAATGGTAATACACCTTCCTTTTTTTACAGGGTATTGGCTGCCTGGTTATAAGCTAAAAACATCCTGGGCAACCGGACTTCATCTAGCAGTCATGTATGGACATCTGGAGAGTCTAATGGTACTGCTAAATCACAAAGCTACAATCAACTGCAGGCCAAATGGGAAAGCTGCAATTCACGTGGCCTGTGAAGTGGCAAATGTTGAATGTCTCAAGATCCTTTGCAAGCATGGAGCTAAAATCAATTGCTTTTCAATGAGTGGGCATGCACCCTTGCACTTTTGTACTACAAAAACCTCTGTGCCTTGTGCTCAGCAGCTGATTTGGAGAGGTAAGTCAAAGCATCAATCAGATTGTCAAGTACCCCCCGGGATTCAATCCAAGTTTTGACATCTCATGACAGTAGCAGCCCTTAAACTTCTGTATTATTATTTAGGAAAAAAATAGCCATGCTGCACATTTTGCAGACTTTTTAATCCTCAAGTGCTTTACAAATGCAGCCATCTCTCCCCTACAGCTCCTTGTGCCCAGCCCCCTGCCCAACACACCCCAGTTTCCCCTTTCCCACTTCCTCATCCAATCCATTTCAGCCTCATGTCCTAGCTTCCCCAGGCTCTTCAACCTGTCCTTCCTCCACTCCCCTGACCCACTCCTTTTAGCAGTCTCTTGATCCAGCCAGTTTCAGTTCCCCTTCTGTACACTGGTTCCTCTCATCCATGTTTTCCTTCCCAGAACCCTGTCCTAATTTCTTTGTCTGATCTCAGTCACCCCCCTAGCAACCTCCCTAGGAACCCTTTTCCCCATTTTCCTACATGACTTCCTGTTCTAGTCAGGTCCCAGTCTTTTGCAGTTTCCAGCCCCAGTCTCTTGAGCCAGCCAGCCTCAGATGCACCCTCATCCCCTAGTCTCAGTTTCTCACCCAGTTTCCTACTCCCTTCAGCACACAAGAGTCCCCATGCCTAGTTCCCCTGTCCCATCTGCAGCTGATACAGCCCACTTCCTTCACAGCAGGGGTTTGAGCATGCTGCTGAGAAAGGAAAACAAAGGCTTTGTTCTCAGTTCATAGACCCAAACATAGACCTGGGGCACAGCCTGAAATACCTGGAATTGCAGCCCTCCACAGCCCTGGAGCATGTTCATTGTCAATGAGATCCTGGGGTAATAACACTAAAGAGCTAGCAAACTCTTTGTTTAGCACAAGTGCAAACTACCACTTTTCATAGGCTTATTTATTTGACCAGACATGGGCAATTTTTCAAGGGGATGGCAAAAGGCACATCCCAACCCCTCCTAAATCTCATGGCCTTGATACTATGAATGGGGGCACTAGAGATTTTCAAAGAAAACTTGGCAGAATATTTTAATATGAGCGAAACAAAATGATGCCCCCTAGCCTCTGTCTCTTTTCCAGTCAGTTTCCTTCTTCCTCAGTTGGGCCCCCAGGTCAGAAGGACCTCTTTATACAAAAGCACTACCCCTGTTACACCCACCTTTTTCTGAGAGTCCCTCTGTTCTCTCCACCTCCAGAGTTTTTCTTGCTTTTGGCTTTTTAAGACTCAATAACTAGACCTGATTTTTTGTTCTCCTGTTTGGAAATTTTCCACCCTTCTGCAGATAGGATGGAGAAATGTGGCATTATCTGTACCATCACTCTTTTGCTTTTCTCAGGTCAGAAAGCTCATAACCAGGGTCATGTTTACATGTGCTATTACTGCACATTAATAAGCTCTGGTGTTTATTGCTCACAGGCAAGCCGTTTGCCTGGGAGCAATTAACTCTGGAGTAATAAGCTCTAGAGTTTATACATGCATAGTACAAGGAGCCAAGTTGGAGCAGCCCCGGTTGGCAGAGGGCCCTGTGGGTCAGCCTGCCAGCCTGGGGCTACTCCCTCCAGTTCACAGTGCTAAGGAGGGGCTGGCTAGGGTATAAGGGAGCTTCAGCATGGGGCTAGCTGGAAGAGAGCCCCAACACTGAAGCACCCTTGTGCCTCAGCCAGTTGGAGCAGCATCTACACACACGCTGCTGTGGAGCTTTTTACTCCAGAGCAGGATAGTACTTGTATTTACAAGTACTATTTTAGTATTTATAAGTACTATCCTGCTGTGGAGTCAATTAGTTTACTCCAGCCTAATAGGGGCGCATGTGTAGACACCGAGACATTTACTGAACAGCTAATTAGTCAACTGTGCAGTAAATGTCTCATGTAGACGCACCCCTGATGAAGCTGTTCACAGATAGACATGCCAGTGTTACTCCTATACCTTTAGCACAAGGAGCAAGTATTGCACACCAAAAAAGTCAGTCAAAAGGCATGTGGACACAGAGGGTTCATAAAATCAAATAGAAATTCATAAATTTCATAGGCAGAGTCCCTGATTGTCACATGCTACCACAGCAAGTGTAAGTGTTTTGGTGTAATTTGCTACATATGCTGTTAATGCAGACTTTTCCCAAGGCTAAGTTCTAAGAGCCTGAGTATGTCTCAGGGGCAAAGCAGTATGATCCTAATAAATTACTCTATCACTTGCCTTCTGCTGGAAGGATGCATATTATTTTGTTTAGTAGAAAGGAAAATTAATGCAGCCAGTCTTATTCTGCCCAAAGCAAATAATTCTGAGAGCAGGAGTTATATCTGCTACCACAGGAAAGCATAAAAAGTCGAATACACTCTTGCAAAAGGCAGAGTAGGATGAATGCATGTGAAAGGCTGTATTCTAATGGCTTGCTTCCCCAAGGTATCAACAATACAGTAATAATACCTTGCAGTTGCAAGTCCCCTTTCATCCCAAAGCTATTAACAAACTTGAACTCCCATGCAAACTAAATATAGAACCTCGACACACAACCATACGGCCTCTGGAGTGAAACGTGGCAGGGGAAAAAGAGAGCATAGCGACATCACACAATAGCTTAGCACAGGGCTTCAGTTATCATCCTTGCACTGAGGACTCATAGATGTGCCTCTCCACCCCTGCCCACCCTAATGCTTCTCATTCTCACATTACCAATTTCTGCAGTTTTTCCCCCCTGCTTCCCCCAACAACATCTTAAGCTGACAAGAACTCAGTTTTTCCTCTTTTGTGTTTTTTCTCTCTTAATGCTTAGAGAGAATTAATGCTTTGTTCCTCAGTCTGACAATGCAATGTCATTTTTGAGTGCCCTCGCTCCTTCCAGCCCATCCTTGGTACTGAAAAGAAATCCTAGCCATTATAGCCAGGAATAAGGCTAGAGAGATAAACCCAGTGTAGACAAAGACACTGTAGGTGTTTCCCCAGGAGTAAGCAATTTGCTATAGACTTACTTTTGCCCCTCTGTGCCTTATAAATTCTGATGATTCTGGGTCCTTTCCAGTCTAGATGCTGTTACTCTGTCAGTTTTTCTTCTATGTTAGCAGCAAGCAATCATGTCTTTTGCACTGGCCTGCAATTATTTAGAGCAGGTTGTATCTAAGAGGTAGTGAGACACTCAGAGACTCTGGCTGCAGCAATCAGAAAAGAAGAGCATTAATATTCTACCAGAAACCATACACAAAATTCAATGCATGTTCCTTTTTCTTTTGCTGCTACATGGAAAACACATAGCCTGACTGCCCAGTAGATGGTGCAGTTGTTTCAATTGCAATATAAACATGACCCCACAGGCAGCAGCTGTATGTATCCTATTAAGAGCTTAAAAACAGGGCCTGAATCCTTAGTTCATGCCTTCACTATGTCTAAACTATTTAAATTATTAACAAAATGCTTTTTCTCCTAAATTCTCTGTTAAGGAAATACTGGGGAAAGTATGGCAGTGTTGATGCGTGTCCGGGGGGGGGAGTTACTAGTGTAGAAAGTCCTGAGCTTTTCTACTGGAGTTTTGCCTTTCCTTTATTTCTTAACAACTTCAGATACAGATTTGGACCTGATTCTGAAGGAACAGAGAGGGTGGGGGGCATTCAGAGGTGGAAGTTCTTCCTACAGCTCATTATGGCAAGAAGTCTAATCTGTGAGGTTTGGCTCTGACATTTTGAACTTTCAGCTTTATAGTGAAGTCATAGGAGACTCAGAGGCCATCTCCACAAACCAGTAGTACAGTTGGGTCAACTAGTCATAACTTGCGAGAGGATTATTTTTCACAGGAATCTGCCTGGTCCCAAGGGGCACTTTTGCACATGCTCTGAGGGGCGACAGCGCTTTAATTAGAGCAGCTCCAAGAGCCACTCTAGTTAAAACATCGTAGCATCTTGTGTATCAGCATCCCCACACTTCAAAATGGTGGCAGTTCAAGTGCCCCGCCACCATTTTGAAGTGCGGGAACACTAATACATAAGATGTGGGAGGCTGCTGGAGCATGGTAATTACCATGCTTCAGCAGACTTGATTAATTGAGTCTTCACTCGTGCAGAGGTACCCAAGGAAAATGGCAGTATGGTGCGTGGTTACTCCAAGCCTTCTCTCTTCCATGCTCTTAAAGTAGTACCTAGTGGGAACAGAAGGGTTAGTTCAGCCTAGTTTAGTCTAGCTGGTAAGGGTCACCAGATGGCACTGTTATACAAAGATTTAAAAATTCTTTTTCTTAAGGCTTTGGCACAGCTTACCTGTATAAGGTCAGAATCTGTGAAATTCTGTGATTTCATAAAATGATGGTGGTTTTAGAGCAGTCTCCAGTGAAAGCTTCATGCCTTTTCAGACCTGCATGGCTGTGACTTGCCAGTAGTGGGCTAACATGCAGGGGTGTGGAGAAGAGCCAGGACTTTTTCTCCCCTGTGGTGGGAGAGGAAGGGGAAGGTAATACTTAGCATGGAGGTGAAGAAAGGGGTCTACGGCTTCTCTCCCTCCACAGCCAGCAGGAGCCCAGTCAGAGCAGAGAGTGGGAGGGGAGCAATCTTGAAAAACTGTTTGAAAGGGGTGGGGGGAGTAAAGGGAAAGGAGTGAAAAAACAGATTAAAAAATAAATAATAATAAAGGACTAAAATCTTGCATGTGTCTCAGCAGCTTGGGATTGGGTTGGAGGCAGGGGAGTTGGGTTAGAGGCAGCCAGGGATGTGCTGGCTGGGATGGGGGAGCTGTCCTGGCCCAGGGGACAGGGGGAGGGAAGAAATAGCCAGGGCACAAGGCAAAGAACCAGCATGCTTGCTGCAAGGCGCAGAGCACTTTTTTAAAGAGAATTTTTCATGTTCCAGTCCAAATCAGCCATGAGTTAGTCAACCAGGACAGGGCTGAAAAACAACGGGTTTGTGGGGCCAGGGGAACTGCGGCACAATGAAGCTTCCCCTGCTGTGTGGCCTCCATTTAATATAGAGCTCCCATGGCTCCCTGGGAAGCATGGAGTCCTAGTCAGAGAGACCATGTGGCTGGGACAAGCAAGCTTCCCTCCCACTGTAGCCTCTTCCTTGAACAGAGCCCCAGTGGCTCCATACTTAGCACAACCCCCAGGCAGTAAGATCATGCAACTGGGCTACATGGTCTCTCTGCAATTAAACACTGTTGGCATGTCTACACATGTAATTAATGTGCAAGAAATTTCTCCACAGAAAAATCAGGCACATTAAACTGGGCCCCTGCATGATTCTGAACGTACACCCATTGGGAGCAAATTTGCTCCTGATGGGAGCAGTTCAGTTTAGGGATGCTCCTGCCATGCTTTGCCTCTGCTGCAGCAGCCAAGGGGAGCTCAGGCTTCCCTGGGTGCCAGCCCCAGACTGGCAGGGGGCACAGGGGCTGGTCCCAATCCCTACAGGGCAGGGGAGAATCCCAATCTCCATGTAGCTGGGTAGCAGCTGCCTGGCAACTGGGACAGCTCTCCCAGCCACATGGAAATCAGGACAGGTCCCAATCTCCACATAGCTGGGAGGCAGCTGCCCACCAGCCAGGACTGCTCTTCTTGCTCCCCACTCTGCAATATTCTCCTGGTCAGCATCTACATGTGTGCTTTGGCATATGAGTTTAATGAGCAGATTCCTAGTACCTGCACTAGACAACAGGGTATTAGACTAATCTACTGCTGTAGTAAAGCATCTTGTGTAGACAGGCCCTCTGGGGGTTGTTCTCAGCATGGAAGGAGAAGGGGTGAGAAGCTGACTAGAGGTGTAGCGGATGGGAAAGGGTAGAGTAGTTGGGACCTATGGATCCTGGGATGCTGGAGGAATGAAAGTAAGGAGTTTTATTTCCCCAGAGGATCCATATAATATCCTGGAATGACCTGGGTAAAACAAATACAAGATAAACCTCATCTGTAGTGCCATTTCTTTGAAACATTTAGTGGATACTTAAAGCAGTTTAACACCCTTTAACTAATGATTGCTATAATTTTAAATGCCTTTATGACGTTTTTAAAGGAACCTGTGCCAAAGCTGTTAGTCAATAAGCACTTTGCAGGCTTTGGAACTAGTTGTGTGCTGACACTTCTTTTTTGGGCAGAGCTGGAGCCAGCAGAAAAGGAGTTCTCTCTTTGCCTTAATATCTCTGAATATAATCCATTCTAGGAGACAGAGCTGCTTACTGAGACAACTATTTTGCTTGTGCTGAGGTTCCTGGTTGAGGGGACTGACTGTGCACAGTTTGTGCGATGAGATCTGTTTAAAAACTGGCGTATAGAGTATAAAGTTATCTAGGTGTACTAAGAATATACTGACCTGAAAGATTTCTGCTTGACAAAGAAGTGACAAAACTCTGCTGTACTTTTGTTCCGATTCTGTCTCAGTTCTAACGTGCACAGGTGACAGTCCGGAGGTCAGGAGTTTGAAGCCATAGCAGAAGTTCTTATGGCGCAGCCCTGTCAGATTTCAACAAAATCTGTTAATTCTGATAAATAGCTTGTCACAAAGACATGAGAAAAGAAAGCACAGTAATTAAACAGGAATGCTACTGATTATCACTTTCCACTATTTTTCCTACTGCATCCTTGCCACATTTCCCTATCCCATCCACCAAAGTATGTTCTGGAGAAGATTAGATGTTGATGCATATATGTATGTATGTATGTATGTATGTATAAAATAGGTCTAGAGAGAGATTTGTGTCTGTGATTTGTGCAATGTGCTTGTGGTGATGAAAAAAACCCTTATGAAAATATAGACAAGTAAAGCTGCATAGAAAGAAGAGACTATGAGATTTGAGAGGAGGCATATAATAAACTTTGAACAATACAAATGAGAAAATTACTGCATTGTTCTGAAATTGTTTTGATGCAGTTTTTATTTTAATATTATTAGTGTGTTTAACCTTTTGGGTCCTTTCTTTAATTATTCAATTCCCCTGTGGGATTTTTGAGAGCAATAGCAGTTCAAAGTTTTATCTATAGTTATCAGCTAACATTCTGAGGACCCCCCCTGCTGTTTTTCCTAAAATTGGACCTGAAAATTTGGGGTTGACTTATTTATAATGGGAACAATACTGTAGATGTCTTTGAAAAACAGGCTTATAAAAGCAATGGATGCTTGTGTAACTGTTTTCTGTTATTCTTCTTAACAGGAGCAAATGTGAACATAAAAACAAACAATCAAGATGAAGAGACTCCCCTGCATACAGTTGCACGCTTTGGTATCCCTGAACTGGTGGCATTTTATGTGGAACAAGGAGCAAATGTGGATGCTATTAATGCACACATGGAAACCCCTCTGGCTTATGCTGCTTACTGGGCCCTTCAGTATAAAGAGCAAATATACAGTACAGAACACCATCTAATCTGCAGGATGCTCTTAGACTATAAAGCAGAAGTAAACTCTCGAGATGAGGATTTCAAGTCACCACTCCACAAAGCTGCATGGAACTGTGATCATGTGCTGCTGAACATGTTGTTGGAGGCAGGAGCTGAAGCCAACATCATGGATGTCAATGGCTGTGCCCCCATACAATATGTTCTGAAAGTGACACCTGTGCGACCAGCTGCCCAGCCTGAAATTTGTTACCAGTTGTTGCTGAATCATGGAGCAGCTAGAATATATCCTTTGCAGTTCCACAAGGTTAAGTAGTTAGGGTACAGCATGCTGCTCCATATAAAGATGGGGGAGAATTGGTGTTGTGATCTAGATCACCTTTGGGATGATTTTCAGTTAGGGTTTGAAGCTGGATTTGATGGCATCAAAATTTTGTGTAACCCTTCTGCCAGGTACCAGATGGCAACAACATAGGCCGAGTTCACCTTAGGGCTTTTACACAAGTTGATTATCTTGACTTGAGCTCCCACCTAGCAATTTGAGAAAATTGCCTGGGCATAGGTGATGCATGCCTCCTGAGATTGGTGGGGCACAGCAACCACCCACAGGCGGCAACACAGGCATTGGAAGCGAGGGCAGACCGAGTGGGGACTCTCTGCAGGTGGCCATGGCAGTATCAAAGGCGGGAACGGGTGGGGGTGTCTCTGCAGCCAGATGCCGAGCCCAGAAGTGCCAGTGGTGTGTCTGGAAGTGCCAGCAGCACTTGGGGGGGGAAGTAGGGCAGCACCAGCTCTCTGTCTGCCCCCCCTGCCCGTCATCTTAGCCAAGAGTGCTTACTCCCGGGGGAACACCAGAGCTCTCAGGGGGTGCACATGCACCCCCACACACACCCTATGCGTTGCCTACATGCCTAGGTGTTCCAGTGTGAACAAACTGTTCCTCATCGCTCCTCATTGTTGCTGGGGGGTGGCTGCTGGGGGCATTGCTCCTCATTATTCCTCATCACTGCTGGGGAGACGGGGTACTTCTCCTTGCTACAGCTGGGGGCCCTGTTCCTAGTCATGCCTCACCACCCCCATTGCTGCTCCTCATCACTGCTGGCCTGTTACTCCTCTTCTGGTTGCAGAGGCAACCCAGCTCTTTTAGATGCAATTCCAGCTCTTTCAGGATCTGGCAGGTACCAGTCAGGGCAGAGTCCATGGGTTTTCCTTTGGTTGAAAACTTTACTACCTATTTAGAAATGGTGATATCTTCCTTCATTTCTTCAAAAGTTCAGGTAGGAACAGGGCTTGCAATTAACACTCATAAAAGTTATGTCCTATATTTCAGAAGGAAAGTACAGAAGATAGTTTATTTGCGACTGACTGCCTCGAGGGAGAAGATCATTTAATAGATTTCATAGACATTAGGGCTGGAAGGGACCTCGGAAGATCGAGTCCAGCCCCCTCCCCCAGTGGCAGGAAGTCAGCTGGGGTCATAGGATCCCAGCAAGATAAGCATCCAAATTTCTCTTGAAGGCGTT